TCGTAGTATTTGACATGGCCGAACTTGAGACACCTCGGGCTTATTATATACTACTATACTTGCTACTTCTTAATCAGTAATCAAGCACAACGGTGTACGCAGTATCCGCACCACGCTTCAAGTTATTCCTAATACAGCCTAGATATTAAGACTTTCATAGATACTACTTAATTAAATATACAATGATAATGTAAGAAGTAAGCTTTTGAATTCATGATCAATGACTTTTAGATATTGTTTGACGGAAATAAGCTACAACAAAAAGATTTCGTGTATTTGCTCAGAAAAAGGTTAACTGACACTTTCCCTTAAGGTCAAAGTATTTTTTAGCCACTTTTAAACCATAAACCAAATGAAGCCGTACACTACAAGTAGACTATTTTAAAAAAGGAACTTGACCTCAGCTAGAGACTTTGAACGCGATCTTATTCTGCTTTTTATATACTTATTCTAAATTCTACTATTTTCGAACATCGCATTCTGAAATCTTAATTATCTCCTCCCTCGCTGATTACTTGTATATATATTCTAAACATTAGCAGCATAATCATTACTAATCACAAATGTGGTGAATTCAGTAAAATAATATGTTAAAAATATTCACATATTCATTAAATGTGAAATGTGAAGCAGTAATATATAAAAAGTTTTTATTTATAGATTAGATTCTGTTTTAGACATTCATTTAACTTAAATATAGATTTTCACTATTTACTCTTTTATAATCGAGGATTTACAAATACTTTTACTATACGTTGAGTAATGTGCTAAAATCATTTTATAAATCTTTGTACGTCTTAAGCGATGTTCTATCTTAAACTTATAACATAGATATATCTGTTCCGAATATTATCACACATCTGTAATCAGTTATCTTTGATGGAAAGATATAACTGTTCTAATAATATAATTGTTCACCTTATATCACTGCAATATCACTGCGAAAAAATATTAACGTAAGAGACAAAAATAAAATATTCTATATTACACAAAAATGACTGTTCTCCTCCTTCGGTAATAATGTCCTCCTTACTGATATTCAGTGCAAAATAATATTGTAAAAACCGATAAATTATTAGTATATTTAGTATATATTATATAAAAATTCCTATTCTCCTCCTCTTGTAATAATATTCTATTTGTTATTTATGAGTAGCAAACATAACTGTAACATTAAGTTTTTTTTAAGCCCATAAATATGCAATGGATATATGTTTTATGTTTCAATGTATGTGTTCCGAATTTCTTGAACAGCTTAAATGCACCTGGTCTATGATTAATATTTATTATCAGTAATTAGTGGGTTTAAAAATGAGTAATGCATTAAATTTACTACATATAGTTAGAGATATGATAAAGGGCATTTTTATAGAATAGTAATAAATTATTGTAAATAAGATTGGGGAGAACTATTGTTTTTAGTGTCAATAAAATGTTTACAATGTGTATATATATTAAGTAATTCCTATATAATTTGTTATAAATACATATTATATTTTATTAAGGAAATATTAGTTATGTATTTTCTATATTATTTTTAGACAAATCAACAAAAAAAAAATTAAAAATAGTAATAATCTAAATGTTGTTTTATATATCTTTTGTCCCAGAAGTCAAAATATGGTTTTAAAAGCAAAAAAAAAATATTATTTATTAAACTAATTAATTGTTAATCTATTCACTCTTAAAAATATAAACTTAAAATATGATACTCAGTAAAAATATTTAATTAAAAATAAATTCTTTAAATGAGAGAAAAAGGTACATCTACGTAGAATTTGCAAACATTTACTTGACTGACTGGTTTTAAAAATTAAAAATTATGTAATGAAATTATAATAGATTTATGGATAATGTATAAAACATTTAAATTTATAAATCAATTTTAGTTGAAGCATTTTTAAAACTATTTATTTTGTAATCCCTCAACAAGACACGTGCGTTATTTATTGTTATTTGTTTAATTTATTACTATTTGCACTTGTGTAAAATTTAGAATGACATGACGTCATCGGCACCCTTATGTGCTTGAAATGCCTCCTACTCATTTGTTAACAAATAAACAATTGGAAGCAACAAAAGTGCGGGTATTTGTAATGTTATTGGCCCGTGGCCTAGTTTTGGTGCTTATGGGCTGTATTTATCAGTTTAGAAGGCTAACATTATCACTTAATGTAAAATTTATATTCTTTATAAGTATATATACATATGTATATATGTAAATACTAACATATGTATAGCTTTATTGTGTTTAGTCATATTTAGTATTTTATCAGAAAATACCCATTAAATCGTTACCAACTGTTGTTGGGCAACTGTCGAAATCAGAAATTTGAAATGCATAAATTGCGCATTTCATTTGTAATTCAATTTAAAACAAATTTGTCAAAAAGATACATTAAAAAAATTAACTAATTTTTCATTTTTTCAACTCAGAAGCGAAACAACACAATTCCACAATATTGTTTAGTGTGCATATATACGACAGACAAGTACACTGAGAATTTAATCAAGCAACGTTTGCTTGTTAAATAAAACATTTATTCCTAAAAAAATTAAATAAATTTAAAAGTTTTACCAGTACCAGCAGTAGAAATATATTATATATTGTATGTATTTTAAAAATTGTGCTGGTGGTGCTGCTTTTCCCGGTGCAAGTGTCCCTCGTAATGTACGCATATTTAGCACCCTCCCCCGTACTCGAAAAGACTACGTCAGCAGTAGCAGCAAGCGTATAATTTTCCTATATTTATTTATACTTATTCCTTCGTTTTTAATTAAATATTTATTGTTGATTTATTGAGAGTTGTGTGTGTTCTTATCGAATTGGAAATGAAATTATAAATAAACAATCTAAAATGTACAGTTTTGGACTAGTCATCGTCATCGCCATCGCCATCGCCATTGTCAACTTCAATTGAGTTTCATATGCTGAGCACACTATGTGGTCGATTGATTACTCGTTAATCACAATAACGACAAAACATAAGTGTTTAATTGCAATTTTACCAATATCTTATGTTGATGTTAATAAATTAACACTTGTAAGAAAAGGCAATTAAAATGCAACAACAAAAAACAGATGAATATTCTAAATAAGAAAAAATTGCATTCATTAGTTGCTACTAAATAAGTAAATAAATATCACATAATCAATATTCAGTATTCAATATTTAATATTTCACTAACTAAAACACTTAATGTAATTATGTTATCTATCGTTGCTCTTTATCAACAATATTAAATGTCATTTGTAGGGTATCTCAAGCAGTCTGCATGATTACATTGCAAACAGAACGCTCACTTGTCAATAAAGTACAGTATGAGTCATCGTCAACAAAATATTGACAATACAGTGCTAAACAACAGCAACGTCGGCGTTGAGTGTTGAACGTTGAGCGTTGAGCGTACGACATCATCATCATTAGCACCACCATCAGCGCACACGAATATAAAAATTGATTGTCGCAATTCCAATTTCAATCCAACCCAACGGAAAGGCAATCCAGAATCGTCGTCTTATATCATAGCTGGCAGCTAGCAGAGTATCGTTTTGTATGAATGGCATTTGGTTGGTTCTGCTCTGTTGATTTTTTATTCAATTACGAGTATTACGAGTATTTATGTAAGCTCAGTTGTGCAAATTAAAAAATCTAAAACTGAAATCAATCAATCGATTTGTATGTCATGCAAATTTTTGTATATATTTTGGTACAAAAATAAGATAACGATCTATTAGAGAAAATATTGATATAAAAAAATGTAATTCAAAGTTATTCACATCTCAGTTTGGTTAAAATCCAAGAAAAAAAAAGATCTATTGGAAGCATAGTTGAAGTCAAAAAATATTCTATTGAGAATAAGTAAATTCACTGTGATAAGCCTTTTAGATTTTATAGAATCGAGAAGCAGGTGTAGCAGAACTCAAAAACTCACAGCTATAAACAACGCCGAAAGCCGATGAAAAAGATCTATAGCTATAACATTCGATTGAAGTTAAGTTTAACTCAGTATTTTAAAACACAACCTTTCAAATCCGTTTGAGATCCTCCATTGAAGTTCCTCCCCTATCACCTTATTCGAAAACATGTGTGTTTTTAATTTAAGATTCAAACTTATGAAGATTTTTAGGTTTTATAGAGATAACATTCAACAACAGCTCTATCAGAAAACAATTCTTTTTAAAGTCGAACATAAATCCCTTAGACTTCTCTGAAATCAAAACTTTCATAAAATCAAATCTCTAAACATTTACTCTTAGTTGGTAACTAATCAATATAAACTTATTGGAATACTATTCAATAATGTAAATATGTTTAAACCGGTTTATAATGATTATATGGTTTTAAACTTTCGTATAGTCTAAATAGATTTTTATTCAAAGCAAAGCCTCTCTAAAAGCTGTTTGTTTTAATTTAATATCACTCATTGCCGAAATCGGTTTTAAGAAATCTTAAAAAAATAGTCAAAACCTTTGGTTTATCTTTAAATAATACTCAAATAAATATTAACATAAGTTCGAACTGATATGAGACCATCAAAGCACAATTTAATTGGAGATAGAAACCTTTTCTTTAACATTCACAATGTTTTAAAGGATGTATACTCTTCTTTCAAATGTCTGAATAAAAACTTTATTCTTAATAATTACTCTCTTTTCGTATGTCCACTTGTCACTTTATCTCTAACTTAATAAAAACCTTATCCTTAACACCAACACCAACCAGCATAAGTACTATCTTTATAAAATTATACTATATAAATAATATCACTTTCCAAAAAAATATCATCAAAAATACCATATTCCAAAAAGGATAGCTCCTCTCAGTTATCTGTAATTTAGGCCAGTATACAGTTGTTTTCTATACTTATAATTACTTTGATTTTACTATATCTCTGACTAGTTTTATGGGAATGTTTTATATCTTCGCTATTATTTAGAAATTTAACTAGAAAATCCACTTAACATTAACTAATCGATTATTTTCTTTTTTCTTTTTTTTGCAGAAGATGCACGCAAGACAGGTTCCCGTGTATTACTGCATTGTCATGCTGGTATCTCACGTAGTGCTACCATCGCTATCGCCTACGTTATGCAGTACAAATCGTTATCACTACTTGAGGCATATAAACTGGTTAAAGTGGCACGACCAATCATATCACCAAATCTTAATTTCATGGGTCAACTTTTAGAATTGGAACAGAATTTAAGATTAAGCGGTGTGTTAGCACCACTTTCGCCTGCTGCAGTCTCACCAGCAATTATATCTAGTCATGTTTTAGATGAAGACGAAATAAGAAAATCGAAATCAGATAGTGAAGCTATGGATGAAGATTGCTATGCAGAAACAGAAGAAGAGAACAGTAATAGCGGTAGCAGTAATTGCTCGTCACGGCTAACATCACCGCCTATTACACCTGAAGATGAAACACCCTGCACCTCAGCAGCAGCTGCAGCAGCTTGTTCACCATCGTCATCATCTGCATGTTCCTCAACGTCGTCGTCGTCATCGTCGTTTCTCAGTACCAGTCGTTTATCGAGATTTAAACGCAACTCACCTGCCAAACTCAGATTAAATCTAGAATCGACTTTCGCACCAATACCCAAATCGTTATCCTGCATATCAATACACAACACAAGCATTAGCCCACAAAGTCGGGATGCGCCCATTGGCACTCCAAGCTGTGAAACAACGACTATACCCACATTGATGGATCACGAAAATAATATCGTTGCTGCTACACAATAAAAAAAAAAACAACAACAACAATAACACATTTATACAAATTCAAAGTTAAAAATTGCTGTGAATATTTTTATTAGAGATTTTTTATTAACGAGAATTAATAGTGTGGCATAAATATATACTAGAACTATTACTTATATAGATTATATGTATGCATATGCGTAATTTTTAACTTTTTATATATACATATATAGGGTATATATGTACGACATGATGTACGCTGATTTCAAATTGTAGGGTACTTTAAAAACCTAAAGGCCGCAAAATTTTTATCTACAAAAAATGAAAATTATTAATTACAAAAACAAACAATTATAATTCTAAATTTTGATGATTAAAATTTTTTAATAATAGTGAATTTTTGAAAAGTTATAAAAAAATTGTAAATTAATTTTTAACTTACAAAAAATTGAACAGCAACAATAAAAATGCTTATTAATTTATTTATATATATTGACATATGATGTATGTATATATGTACTTTGTTTTGTTAAAACTCACTTATACAAGCTACATAGCTTATTATTTTTTTTTAATCTTATAAACAATTAACAAAATTAACCAAAAATAATTTTGTGCTTGTTAATATTTTTAAACAAAACAAAAAGAAAAACAAAAAAACAAATACTAAAATTTTGACCCAAAAAAAAGTGTAATTTTACATTATATGATGGAGCACATATATATTTTGTTAAATTAAATATATATACCACTAATTTCGTTCGTATTTAGGTTAATAAAATAAACTATAAAAATGTATCTATATATAAAACCTTTCCCATTATACCTCTGTTCTCCCACCACTCTACCATAGCGCCTATATATATCTATCCTATATATAAAATAATAATTTATTTATATTGTTACATATATGTATATTGAATGTGATATATATGCCAGTATATTTATCCGGTATATATACATATTTTGTCTGTTCTTATTACATCGAAACTGTTTTAAGTTTTATTTATTTGCAATTAATTTTTGTTATTGTAAAATTCTTATTTATTTTTAATAAATATCACATCACATAAGCAGCAACAAAAACGTTAAAAGCTACAACAAATTGAGAAGGTTTTTTAGCATCTATTTTATTTATAAAATTATTCTACTATTTACAAATATCCAATAATTGTTTAAACAAGTATACTTAGTTTATAAAATGTAAATAATTTATTGTAAGCCGCAGTTAAAAACAAAACAAAACAAAACAAAAAAATAAAACTACATGAGTATGTAAATTTAGTATTTAAGTGGAGATTTTAAATGAGACAATGTGTGAAGTTTCTAATAAGAGTCAACAACAACAACAAAGTTTTATGAATATTAAAAATATACAACAAAACTAAATTCAAAAAGGATCATTTTTGAAACTCAAAAATTATTTGTGTTTTATTTTATAATATAAAATATATTATTTTCTAATATCTAATATAAGATCTGAGATCAATTATTGCTTAGTCTGATGAAGTGATAAACAATAATCCAGTCAAGGCGTAGAGAGGGGTTTTGAAGATACCTCGCAATTAATAGAGAATAAAAGTGCTCAAGTCACTGACTTAACTAGCTTCAACATAATAATATGGTATATAATCAATCATATATAATACGCATAAGAACGATTGATGACTGGATTCATCATCGAAAAGAACAAAATTACAGTGGAACCTATGGCATGTATTGTGCAAAGTAATATATCTAGATAGGTAGAGAGATATTGATAAATAGAACTAGTAAGCTAAGATCACACATCAACCAAGTAGATTCGTAGCAGTATCATATTAAAGTTATTGTTATCGTTATCCGAAGTGACTTACTGGCATTATATCTTTCGACAGGAGTAGACGGTACGGACTATTGTTAATCACATTCTCCATAAAACAAAATAATAAAAAAATAATAGTGAAATATGAAGTAAAATAATTTTTATTTGCATCCCAGACAAAAGAACAGAGTAGCCTAACAAAAAATAAATTTAAAAAAATATAACGTACTGGTCAAAAACCTCATTATTAAAAAAATTTCCTTTTAGTGAGTCTTTTTGGAGGTACCATTCTAATAAGTACCAATGTTAAATATCTCGGTATGCAATTAAATATAAGATTAACATGAGAGAAAGATATGCCGCACGGAAAAAAAAACTTGATCCGATACCAATTCAATATTTGCTGGGTTCAAGATTTGAATTCAACAATCATAAAAAGATTCTCTTATATAAAGCTATTATAGCAACATATAAATAAATTATAAATGATATATTACAAAAAGAAATCTTTGTTTTTTAAATTTTACAACAGATCAGCTATTGTTGTTGTTGTAGCCCGCCGAGATCTGCTTTTCTGACCCCTTTGGAGGATTTTGAACGGCACTTGGTCGTCTTCGATGAGTGGCTCAGGGCGACAAAGTTCAAAATAAATAATATCCGAATTTTTTTTCAACATCAGAATTATTTATTGAATCCTCTTTCTTACAGACTTACAATCCGTATTTAAATCTTAAATCTTTAAAAACTATTTATATATAATAATACATTAGAAAAATTAGACCGTTACAAGTTAACTATTATAAGTAATTTCCATTTTATGGGCCTCAACTATTTATAATTGGGCTGTAAATAGTAATGTGGTATATGTTACATAAATAGATTGTTTAGAAATTAAATGATTTCGCTGAAAGAAGGTGCAAGAATTAATGAAAAAGAGAAAAATCCATTTCACCAACAAATTTTCGAATAAATGACAGCATCTGAGAGAGCGTAGCATTCCTATCTAAATTTTAAAATGTTACACAGACTTTACTCGTACATTTTATTACAAGTAAAATTTGTGTTGATGGGTGAATCAGCTGTTTTGGTTTGGATTTAAACTTTTGTATTGTTTATTTGCGCGGCATCGGTGTTCTCATCACACTTTACACAAAGCTCTTCCATGAAAATATGTGTAGAGCGTAAATTTACACTATTTAAAATAAAATTAAATATATAATATTATAATAATAATATTAAATATTATTATATTAATAATATGATGTATAATTGTATTTTAATAATAACATTAATTTTATAATAATATTAAATTTATATTAAATACTTTTTCTTATCAGATAATTGGTAACGCTATTGTGGCTATTGTGGATTGTAATTTAGAAATGTGGAATCCAAAACGAACTTCACAACTGTCAAAATAACCGCCAAAATACATAAGCAAAACAATTTCGTGCTTAGACACAAGTGAAGTAAATATATTGAAATGGATTTTCGACGTAAAACTCGGCAACGTGTTGAAAGAAAAGCAGAATATGAAAACTTGGAACAAAAATATCCACTTAATGTCACAATATATAAACTACCACCAACTGAAGACATTAAAATACAGGAATTCGAAGATTTGGCGCTGGAACGTTTAAAGGTCTTACGTATTTTTGATCTGGCCGGAAAGAAAGGTTTCCGTTTACTTTCAGATGAATGGAAAGAGTTTATCAATGCTGAATTATTACGTGAAGGCTTAAAAGATTACTTAAGATTATGTGATGGTGGATCGAGTCATACAACTTCAAGCACCAAAAAGGAAGCAGAACTGCAAGCAAGACGCAGGGATTACATATCGCATTTCATATTACGTTTAGTTTATTGTCGCTCCGATGATTTGAGACGGTAATATAATATCAATATTTAAATAACAATTTATACAGAGATTTTATGTTTCAATTTGCAGTTGGTTTCTATCGCATGAGTTAGAACTTTTTAAATATAAATTTTCATCTCTGAGCAGCAACGATATAAAACAATTTCTTGAACTAAATAAGTTAAATTACGTACCGCTCACAGAAAAACAAAAAGACGAGGTAAAGGATGGTCTGTATGAAAGTACCACAGGACATAGTGTTGCTAAAATAGAGTTGCTGGATTTCTACAAGGTGCCATTTACGCAGGTGTATGATTTGGTGCGTGGTCGACGTTGTTTCCTTAAGGATGGCTATGCGTATGTGAACACCAACGATTTTGTGTCAATTGTTGCTGTAATGCAATTGAATGAAATTGAACACGGTTTGGAATCAGCACGGAGGCGTATAAAAGAAATTGAAACGGATGAGCGAATCCTTTATTTACTCAAGTCGTTGCATACATCATACACTGGCAAAGACTATACATTGAACAAAGAAGCCAGCGTGCCGATCGAATCACTTGATCAGCTTTCGAAAAAGTCATTTCCACTATGTATGCGCGATTGCCATGATCATATACGAGCTAAGCATCACATAAAATATGGTGGACGTATGCAGTATGGCTTGTTTTTGAAAGGAGCTGGCGTAACACTGGAAGGCTCATTAAGATTTTGGCGTGAAGAATTTACGAAAATAATGGACTGTAATAAATTCGAAAAGAATTATGAGTACAACATATACCACAACTATGGCAAGAAGGGTTCCATGATCAATTATTCACCATATTCGTGCAATAAAATAATACAAGACAGTATTGCTCCCGGTGATGCACATGGTTGTCCATACAAAAAATACGATCCGTCAACGTTAAAAACAAAATTAATTGCCAATGGGGTTTCAGCGGCACACGTCCAAGAGATTATGAGCTATGTGACGAAGGGGCATTATCAGCTCGCATGTGGCAAATACTTTCAGATCGTGCATGAGAGCTTGGTTGATGTGGGTATCAACCATCCGAATCAGTATTTTGAAGAGAGCCAAACGCTAATGGGTAATCGCACAGAAAAGAAAAATGATAAATTAATTCAACGTAAGGCAATAAAACGCAATGCTAATGATAAAAGTATGTTTCCTGCAGCTAACGATGATGATGAGTTGTGGAATATTGCCGAAACGCAGGAAAATCAATATCGAAGCCAGCAAGCTGAGCAAACTGCTTGGGACGAAGACCTGGACCTAACGGCAATTGATTGTTAAATAAGGAAATAAATTATAAGTTATTTAAATTATATTTAACTTAAGAACATCCTATAAATATATAATAAATTATTATCAAGTACTCTTCACTCATTGCAAGTAGAGTGTTCAATATGTTAGCTAAAAGATCAGAGGTACTCTCATTGTAAAAGCGATATTGGGTACGATAATCGGTTATATGTTGTATGGTGAACTAGAATATTTGTTGTTAAGATATGAAATTAATTTTTAAGTTAAAATAAACTTTAAAATACATGTAACAACCCAGTGTTTAAGTGCTAGTTAAAGCTATCTTTCAGTAGTTAGATATGTAAATATTCGCACTAGCCCAATTGGGTCTGAGGTAATTCCGTATGTTTCTTCGTAATAAATGTGTCATGATGACAAATTGTTTCGAAATTTTTACACATTGCGAGAATCTAAACAGATATATATTATTTATTAGGATTGAACAACGTAACATAAGAGGTGGTTATTCCTTATATTTAAAATATATATCTAGGAATTGTATGAAACTATATAACATAACAGTATCATGTAATATATATGTAGAGCAGGTATAATATATATCACAGAAAAATTCATATTTTTTAGCTAATCAGATTTTTGCATTTAAATCTAAATTCGTGTTAGATTTGATTGGAGTGGCGGCCTTGTACACCAAAGCCCAATTGACCTGAAATAATAGCTGGTTACAATACCGTACTTTAGTGTTGTTCGTTTCTACCGATTATGTTTATCTGATTAATGAACTTTTTTTTAAAAATGTTAATATTTGTTTATTTTTTTTTTTGAAAATGTTAATATTAGCAGAATTTATTTTTTTACTAATTATGCGCAAATTATATCATACAGAAATTATACAAAATTTCACAAAAGCTCCAGCTAATTGATCGTTGAATTTTTAATTTTAAAAGAAATAAATAATTATTTTTGTTTTCTTAACGGAACAACTCTGATCTTCTTTGTAACATTGGCAGCTTTGCCTTCAAAAATAATTTATAACAATTTACATTTCGCGCTGCCAACTTTCAATATAAAATATTTATTAATTTAACCGTTGATAATATTGCTCGATATTTTTGTTTGCAATAAAAAATATTTTAATATAATCATGTAATCATGTAATGAATATTATTATTAATCTTATAATTTTTCGTAAATATTTTAACGGTATCAACAGCAAACAGTAAATAAGAATACCATACATTTCATCTAACTGGAAAATGTGCAAATTTAAATAATTACATAGCAACCCTGTCAGCATTCGGCTGCAACTATAATATGGCGGCGGCCATGATTTAAACATATGGGCAAAGTCATGTCAATTTCATATCTAAACCAAACAAAATTTTTAGATGGACGACGACTCATTTTTTGGATTTGATACATCAATACCGGTAAATTTAACAAAAGGCATTAATTTTCTTTGTTTTTCTTATTGATTTAAGTTTTTAAACGCATAAATTTGATATGTGAGAGAAACCCCCACCCAGGGTATAAAAAACTAATTGCGTGTAAAAAAAAAAATTGGTGAAATCGGCCAACGGAGCATTTCGTGGCATTTTGTAAAAAACATACAAATTTATTTCAATAACAATTTGCATATATTTTGTTTAAAGTTTTTAGATTAACAAATTATTTGTATTTACAGTTAGACGATGATGGAGGAGGTCGCATTGAGGAGCCCTCCGAAGAGGAGTATGACGCCCTTAACGATGAAACATTTGGTGCTGCTATTAATGGCGATTGGGAGGAAGCGCATGAATCGCTTGTACGTTTAACCGATAATTTTACCTGTAGCAGCGGTGAACGCTTAAATAGCAAACAACATGGTAATAATGATAATAGACACCGGTTAGCATCGCCTACATCGTCAAGAGGTTCTTCGCCTTTTTATGGCACACGACATCGTAACCCAATTGCTGATTCTGATTTAGAATTAAATTTATCTGGCATGAAATTGGATGATGTCGATATTAATTTCGGTGATGGTGAAAGTTTAAGCGGTGATTTAAGCTCAGGTATAAACCTCGATCCTAGTGTATGGGCATCACAACCTTTGAAACCAACAAATCACACCCATCATTTAGACGCAATAAAAGGAAATAATTCATTATTTTCAAGTATAAACAATAACTCTGACATAAAAGGTTTAAATATAAATCCTGCAGATTTTTTACGCCAACATATCTCTAGCCCTTTTGCACATCAACAACAGCAAAATCATCACTTGCAACAACAACAGCAACAACAACAAATAAAAGTGAACACAAACACCAATGGTGCTTTCGGTTTAAGTCAACTTCCCAACGCTGGTACGAAACCTAAGATTTGTACTGTAGAAGACATTGAACGTAATATTATCATGCAACAAGCCATGCAAAAACAACAACAACAAAAACTAAAAGAACTCGAACAGCAACAGAAACAACAACAAATGCTAAATTCAATGTTTAAACCAGCCACTTCAAAAACACCAACTCCTGTAAATCCTCATCCAAATCAAATAATGCAAACTCAACAACAAATTCAACACCAACAGCAGCAACAACAACAGCAACAAAATAAAGGTTAGTCAGCTGAATGTTAAAATTTATATAGTCAGACTATAAATAAATTCTACCATTCATAGATATATATACATAATATATTATATATGCATTTATCGCCATTATTTATCTGTAAATTGTTTATTATTTAATTTAGTGTATTACTTAGTGTATTAATAGCAAATAGTTTATTACGCATTTATATATACTTTATTAGCTAAGATAAATTGTTCCTTAGGAAGAAAAGTATTTATAAATGTTTACTCTTAATGAAATGAAATTAAACAAAAAGCTTTTATATTATTTTAATATAAGAGAAATCAATTTTATCATAATTTATAATTGATTCTACTTATTATTTGGCACCACAGTCTAGTGTGTACCTTGACCTCCCTTTATAATTGATTATTTCTTTTTAAATTCGTAAGCTTCATTAGCTTTACTGACGAATGTAGTATAATTAACAATTAATTCCTTCATTTTGTAGGTATAAACTTAACTCTATTGGTTTTAATCAAGACTGTAGTATAATTAATAACTTTACTAATTCTTGAAGTCCTAAGTTAACTCACTATTAGCTTCAAGCGAAATACTTGATTACGACAAGTACTTAAATATTTAAGTACAATACTTGTTTTTTAAAATCTCTGAATATTTCCTATATTTATTTAAATCATCCTAAACAGTTTGTTTTATATATAATAAACACATACATATTCATATAACTACAATCCTATATTCTATAATGCTCATCACTTATCCTAAATCTTAGTTGAAACAATTGAAAGCAGTGAAATTGGTAGGAAATAGTTTAAATAATTATTTTAATTCCCTTTTCCATATGTTTCTTAGATGAAGATACATCTCGAACTAGACACTACCTTCTAGAATCACCCTATAGAAAATAATTGCATTATATTTGATTAATTCATCAATTGCGTTCAACTATTGTTAGATATAAAAATTGAAGATAATTAAAATTATTTCACATTAATTTTTATTTAAATCAATATTTCGGCTTTAATCTAAAGTCGTCTTCAGAAAACTGACAAATAACAAAAAGTAGAAATATATATATATATCGAAAATAGAATCAACAGTCTCCTAAATTAATATATAATTATCTTTTATAATAAAGTTAATTGAGATTAATCTAGATTTGTTGTATATACATATTTGATGTTGTTGTAGTCCGTGAGGATCTGCTCGTAAAATCCCTTTGAGGAGTGATGAACGGTACTTGGTCTTCGAAATTGACGAGTGATTCGATGGCTTAGACCTGCCCGTTCTTGGAACCTGCATATATGGTACATATATGTTTTAAGAGAAGAAACATATATAGCTTGTTATAGAAATATGTAATAACTGGCTATTAAATAAATTTCAATTGCAGTTTTTATTTTTGTAAAAACATTATTTCTTTTATGTATTTAAATAATTTCAAAATTATTACATATTATATATTCATTTTCATATTTATCTTTTTGTAGGACCTCCAGGTTTTATAAATGCCGGTTCACCGCCAAGGCCAGCAAGCAATTTAATTAATAATTTAGCACAACATCCCTTAAATAACATGCTGCAACAACCAACTGCAACTGGTAATCGTTTACCGCCTGGCTTTCCTTTATTTAATCCAGGTATGCCGCCGGGACATATACAACAACGTGGTCATCTTCATATACCACCACATCCCTTGCTAAACCAACATGGCTTACCACCAAATTTTCCGCATGCAGATCCGCGCACACTGCCGAATCCACATCTTCCAATTGCGCTAAACAATTTTGCGATGCATCCTAATTTTAATGCAATGCGTGCCAGTGCTGTAACCGGAATGTATCCACCTGGACTAATTCCTCCTGCTATGGCACAATCTCGTATGCCCACACATCCACCGAATCCCTTACAATTTCTACATCAACAGCAAGCAAACTCCATGTTCAATATGCGACTTGTACAGGAAATTCAGCAAAATCATCCATTACTACAAAATGCCAGTCGACAAATGTTACAACCACAGCAGCAGCAGCAACAACAACAACAACAACAACATGCTAACGCAAATGCTAATCATCAGAATCAACAACGCGCTGGTCTTAAGCAAGCGCATCAGCGACGTGATGGCATTTCTGCAAACGGTAACTTACCACCTGAAGAATATGACGAGTATGCCAATTTAATGAGCATTCGAGATAAACATTGGTTAATAGGCATACAGCTATCCCAACTGAATACAGATACTCCATATATCGATGATTATTACTTTACCGTTTATCGTGAACGAAAATCACAGCTTAGTGGCAATGTGCGTCATAGCAAAGCACATAAGGACAACCAATTGAATCATCCGTTCTCGCAGCCTAAAGGTCATGCACAACTTGTACTGGTACAGTTAGGCAATAAGAACGGCACACGTAATGGTCAACATCGCGAGCGTCATAATTCAGAAACTAGCGGTGGTAATAATTTGAATCAAGAACAGAAAACACCTTACATTTTCACGCCACTCAAGTTTGAAAATTCCTTGGGAAAATTGCAGTATGGCAGCGTCACTGCACCACGTAAAATTATTGATGCGGATATAATGAGTGGAGAGTTGAATGATAACTTAAGCAATAACTTAAGTGCTGCTAAAGCAAGCGGTCAAGGTATTAAATTGCCAAATGTTACAACGGGTAATTTTCATGACATCACCATATCTGCTCAGCGTAAATCGCGCCACATACTACTACACATCGAGACATTATACCGTATAGTGCTTAAGCTTGATGATCTAGAAAATCCTGATGCTAT